ACCTCCGTCACAGAGAGAGCGGCTCTGCTGAACGAGGACTCCAAGACCAACGACGAGGACTTGGCCAACATGGCGCCCCAGGAAGAGTTGGACCAAAACAAGGACTCGTTAGTGCCTGAAACCGAGCTGCTGGGCGACAGTGACCCCACACAGACTGACGAACTGGTGATACACTTGTCAGACACATAAGCGTGGAGCTCTCTGAAGAAGAGAAGAGCGGAAATATCCTGTGAGCTCTGCTTGCCAAATATTCAATAAGCAGCATGAAGTGAAGTGAGCAGTTTGGCAGTGACTGAATGTTTTTTATGCATTTCTTTGACAGTACTGATGGATTTGTGTGTGTCAGGTTTGCACCCGTCAAATTAACGTGTCAACAACGAAGCAAAATCATACAATCTTTTTCTATATTGTTGATATTCAGAGGAATTTATGTACTTGCCGTTGCTGTGCAACACAGAACATTTTCTTACTCACAACTACTTCATGGGCGCCTTGATCTTTGCCTTATCTGATGCACATGTTGCTGCGTGTTTCACTCGCCAGAAAGGCCATTCACTGAGAGGGCAAACTAATGCTACAACACCCCCCCTCCCACCTCAGATAGCACACCCCTCTATCAAGCATCTATCCCTACAAGAAGGAACAGGAAGTGAGATGATTAATCCCACACACTTTCAATACCAGTTACTGGAAACCAGAGGTGATGTAGTGGTGACTAAAGGACCATTTTTTTTGTTTTTTTAGGTTATTATTCTATGTTTTTTGGGATCATAGTAAACTGAATGTATAATTAATAGACATGCTAGCAGAGAAAACTATCGTTGGGTAACCTTGGTCATAGTTATACTCACTGGGATGTATTAAGGAATTGACCTCCATCAAACAAAAACAACGAATACGAAACAAGAATCTTTTTTTTTTCAAAGTTCCCTCATGACTCCTTTCCCACAGGCTTGATTCTTTTAACATCAACTTTGATAACCAAACAAATTGTACAGATTTGTAATTTATGTACTTTTGGTTTTGGACATTTTATTTGTTTAGAATTGTTCTACTATGCCAGGTGTTCGTACATCGTCCTTTTCACCACATGTTTGCTTTGTAGTTCTTTGCTTACCATATAATGTGTACATCCATGAACGGGGTATCCAATAAAGTCTCATACATCAAACTGTGTATTTCCCAGGAAGTAGTGTCACTAAATGATCCTTTGTCACAATGTCCAGAGAGTCTAACATATGGTGCACTGAGCAGTGAAGTTACATTAAGCCAACAGATATACTTTGTAGTGAAGAAACACTTGTATTGCTAAAACTAATAAAAAAAAACTTAAAGGGGACCTATCATGCAAAATGCACTTTGTGATGTCTTTTATACATAAACATGTGTCCCCGGTGTGTCGGGGAACTCACGCAGCGTCAGGAAATAAAACCCTCTCTCTTTTCCTCCGTACCCACATCTCTAAAAACGGGGGCACAACGGAGCTGATCCAGATTTGCGATATGACGCCATATGGGCAATGCAGACCCACAGCACTATCAGAAACGTTGCTATCAGAAACAATGCCCGACTGTTTTGGACGTAATATGGTCGGTGTTTACATTAGCATCGCTAACACTCAGAGCTAACCTGTACTGGAGAGCATGTGTGTGAAGAAGCAGGAAGTAAAAAGGAACTCACTTTGTGGTGTAACCGGCAAGAGAGAAAGCCTTTGAGCTCCATACTGTTTCAGAGAGAATCCTCGATAATCCATGGAGTTTCATCACGGCAATATCTGCCGGTAGAATCTCCCGCATGAGCAGGCATAAGCTCCGCCCCTCATTTTTATCAATTTTTCTTTTACCTAAAATCAGCACTTTTGAAACAGGAAGTGAAATAGAGGATATGAGGCATGGCTAGAATGGGTGATCTGTTTGGTATTTTGAGGAAAACACTTCATAGACATGTTTTTTATATATCTGAGACCTATGCTATTGCCTAAAAATAACATGATAGGTGACCTTTAAAGATCACAGACTGTAGTTTTTAGTTGGGATTTACAAATGCGTAATTGGTTTGTTGAGATACATGTGACTCTACTTAACAACAGCTAAGTATGTGATGCATATTATTTATGTTTGTCACTGTAAAAATTGACATAAATATGATCTGAAGCTGAAGCAGTACGGTTTTGGTCAAGTACTCTTGGCTACCAGATGTCAGGAGAAGAAGTCAAAGTTGAATCTTTATTTGTCCCTTTTTTTGTATCTGTTTATGTTCTCAATCAGCTGACTTACAATCTTTCAGCTATATGAATTTGAGACAAGACGATGTCAAATGACCCAAAAGACTCCTCTCATATCTCCTATTGTGCCCTATTTCAACTACATTAATGTGATTACTTGTTAAGCTTCTTTCCAATCAGTCTATGTCCCATAGAAGAACCAACTACAATCCTTTGAGGAAGACCATGGATTGTGATTGAAATCTCTGTAAAAAGATAGATTTGGATCACAAGTTAATTTGTTTGGTTAAACTTCTCAAAGCCTGTTAAGAATGAACTCTTCCTGTGGCTATTTAAGGTAACATGTGGCATTCTCACTTAAGCCAGAACCTGTAAAACACACAGTTGTCCTATTGGGGTTTGCAAATAATTATTTTAAAATTGTTCTTTGTGCAGATATATGAGAGGCTGCACAGTAAATAGTGAGTCAGGATGGCGTTACAGGAGATCTACTATTTGTCTTGGAAGTTCACAGGTACATGACCAACAGCAGAAGAATGCTCACCAACAAGTTAAAAACAAGCCATTAAGTCTGGGCAACCCGCCTCTTGTCTTTTCAATCATTTGCAAGTGTGTAAAAGCAGACTCCAGAGCCTGACATAATGAAACGTTGCTGACCTTTCTGCCATTCACACTGCCTCACTATTAAAGAGTGTGAGGTGACAAGCTGGACTCTTCCCTGGACAGGAAGGATGGGATATTTTCTTTTTGTCCACGTTAGACAAAGCCCTCAAAAACTCTGAACCGTGCAGATTGAATTTTCCAAAAAACATCTTCTAAGACTGCATAAAAACAAAGAATGGAAGTTAGATCAATGTCACCCTTTGCGCAGGAAGCAAGAACATTTTAGGAACACTTTTAAAACAGTAAATCCATATCAAAGCTCTGCGATGACAAGTGGAGAAAATCCAGAAGAGTTTCTGAGGCCAACCGATCATGATGATCAGTTTCTAGTTCACAGCCTCAGATTATAGACCAACCGAAGTGTAACAACGCCTGCTGGTTGGACAATTATTATAACCACATGTAGTCTAATGTTGTGTAATGCAGCGTTGTTCAAACACACTTTTTGCTGAGGTGCTAAATTTGCCAAAATACTTCATACATGAGGCAGAATTCAGGTGAAATGTACAAAATGCACAGGAAAGTGTCTGTATTTGACAGGGTTCAGCCATAAAATACATGGTATTTTATGAGTTTGATAAGATAGATTAAAGTGTTTTCTCTTTATTAGTTTGATGTGGATTTCCCCCCTACATTTCCCCTATGTTTTAAAGAAGTTTAGGGCATCTTTAAGAGGGTTAGCAGCGCTGGTTTTTCTCCTGCATGGGCTCATGTAATGATGTCTTGACCTACTGTATTGCCTCGTGAGACTATAAAGTGACTAAGTACAATAAAATGGATGGCTGGAAAAAGAGGTGATCAAATTCAAACAGGCATGTGAACTTCTCTAGAAAACCAGAGGTTCAGGAATGCAGCAGCCATCTTAACTCTGAAGGTACAGGAGGATTCAAAAGTGCAGAAGCTGTCCAACAGCGCTCTCTACAGGTGAGATGCAGTGTGAGCAGGTGAGGTGATGCAACACCTTTACTGTTCATGTGCAACAGTGGAATGGTCACTTCTGTAGCATTACGTCTAGTTTGCACACATGCACCAAAAATATATATTGAAAAATTACGATGCATTGTATATTGAATTGGTGAAATTGTATCAGATCATTTCTGCATTTTGTGACTTTTAAAACTTTTTATTTGTTGAACTGTCTACTATTGAGTTTAGTTGTCTTTGTAATTATGTTCTTATTTTATTACAAAAGGCAGTTCTGCTTTTCTATTTGCACCTTTTATATGTTTTAATGTTTCCCCACTTTATCACTTTTCAAAACTTGTAAAAGTAGAAGTACCAGAGTGTCTGAATACTCTGTTGCAGTTAAAGTCCTCAAAATGTTACTCAAGTAAAAGTAGAAAAGTATTATCATCAAAATATAGTAAAAGTAACGACAGTAAAAGTAGTCATTGTGCAGATTGGTCCATTTCAGAATAATATGATATGTTTTATAATGATTGATCATTAAAGTGTTCTCAAAGCTAAAGGTGCAGCTAGTTTGAATGACTTTGTATACTGCAGGGTAGCTGGTGGATTTACTCCAGGTGGAACTAAAGTCTGATTTAACACTTGATTATATTTCACATCATTCATCCAGATCTGTAAAGTAACTAAAGGTATTAAATAAATGTACTGGAGTAAAAGTACACGATTTACCTCTGAATTGTAGTGGAGTAGAAGTACAAAGTAGCATAAAAGTAGTACTTAAGTACAGTTTGAAAAGTAGTACTTAGTTACTTCCCACCACTGACAATAATACATTTGGCTGACTTCATAAACAATCTGACTAGATTACTGTAGCCTATCTAACTACAGATTTACTGTAAATAAGTTAAACATTTGCATAATTAAGACACTTTGCAACCTTGTGTATAAAGGTGCTTATTATCTGTAAGTAGTGTAAAACCATTAAATATCTATTACATTTCGTAATCGTTAAATACCTTCTAATGTGTGATAAACTGACGCACTTAAAAGCCCCACCACTTTATAGATGACGACGGACATTTTATTCGCGACTTCTGTTGAAGCCGACAGTCATTGGCTGATGTCTGAACATGCTGCATTCTGATTGGCTGCAGTCGCTGTCACTCAATCTCACGCTGCCAATGCATTTAACCACTGACCTACTAACACAGATACATGTGAGTCAGTAGCCACCTTGAGAGGGAAAAGCTCAGGGAGGAGAGCCAGGTACTTCACAACTTGTAGGATTTCATCGACATTGTATTTTAGCAGATGGAGAACGTACACTTCACTGCTCCTGACAACTGACCAGACTCCAACCAAGGTAACAAAAAAAGTCTTTATTTAAAGGGTGAACATGAACGCAACCTTGTTCTTACTTCCAGCTTTCTACGGGATGGTGTTGTGTTTAGGTGTTGGGGAAAACGTGGAGAATCACAGTGACGCTCAAACTAGCTTAATTTTTTATTTCTTGCGTAATTTAAATTCAGAAATAGCCACGTTGATATTCACACTACACGTCAAACCAAGCTCAAGTTAATCGAGCTAATGTGTAGTATCCCGGTTATTACTGTACTGTATTTTTCGCATGTGTATTATCTATTAAAATAGGCATAATGGCCTTTAAATGCAACATGTATTATCAGTATTGTGGCACGTAGGCCTATTGGATTGCGACACAGTGTTGTAATCCTCCTAAATGTGGCACTGACGTTATCAAAGCCGTGTTGTTTTGGCACTGTTAGTTATTTTAATTCATTGTTCTGCACTGTAAAGTCTCCTCACGTTGGAGGACTTTTCAGGGCGTAGATAGAGCTTCTGCAGCCGGCTGTGTCATGAGGAAGCTCGGCCAGGATGTCAACAGTGAATGGGTTACATTGTACCAGCATGTTACACAGCCATCACCTTCAATATCACAGTCATTTATTCGTTACACACAGGGGAAATGCACATTGTTACAGCAGTATAGACAGACGAATCATACAACACACTATTACAAAAATAGGTATTCAAGATGCAAAGCTTTTATTGTCATTTGCATACAGTGTAGTTATGACAATGAACATCGTAGGTCACAGGCTCCTCCAACAGTGCAACAACAATACAACAGATAATAGTGCAAGTAATGCATATTTGAAATACAATAAAAGTATGCATTCAGGGAAAGTAAGTAAGCAGTATTTATAGAATCAAATAAGTGTAACATTGCAAATACTGTCTGCTAGCTTGTTGATTGCAGTGGTGAATAACAATGTAATTACATAATATACATATTCTCGTTGGGATGTATATAAGTAGCAGGCAGTAGTATGTATAATATCTCACACCTGTTGTATTTGAACTTAAAAGGGGAGAACACACCCTGTGTTATTGCCACATCATTGCATAATGTCTGCAGCCAGAGAAAGTGCTGGCAGTGTTACACCAGTACATCCATGTGTTTCACGGACACAATGACAGGGACAATAGGACGGGATGACGGTCCGGTTTATCCCCTCCGCAGGCTGCATGCACCCGGACCCGGTCTGAACCGACGGTGAACCCCCGCCTAAACCGAGCTCACGCTGCGGTAATATTACCACCCATTTTTGTCACGTGGGCTCCACATTTAGTATTGATGTCATATGTTGGCTCGTTAGGAAAAAGATCTCTGCATAACCCACAGTGGAGAGTCACACAATCTCAACATTTCGCCAACATCTGGACATGGTTTGCTCTGAGAAAATAGACAAAGAAAAGACTGGCTGTTTCTTGCCATTTTTAAATGGGAAGATCAGGCATGAAGAATTTCACAGTTCAAATTGAAGGCTATTAAAAGAGCAGAGGTGGAAGAAGATTTTATACTGGTGTTAAAGTAGAAATACCTAACTGTAGAGATGGAGTGCTCAGATCTTGTTCTTGAGTAAAAGTAGAAGTACTCAGTTCTTGTACTTGAGTAAAAGTAGAAGTACAAGAGTGTAGGAATACTCTTTTACAGTAAAAGTCCTGCATTCAAAATGTTCAAGTAAAAGTACAAAAGTATGATCATCAAAATATAGTGAAAGTAGCGACAGTAAAAGTAGTCATTCTCCATATTGGTCCATTTCAGAATAATATATATGATATGTTTTATAATGATTGATCATGAAAGTGTTCTCAAAGCTGGTAAAGGTGCAGCTAGTCTGAATGACTTTGTATACTGCAGGGTAGCTGGTGGATTTACTCCAGGTGGAACTAAAGTCTGATTTAACACTTGATTATATTTCACATCATTCATCCAGATCTGTAAAGTAACTAAATGTATTAAATACATGTAGTGGAGTCAAAGTACACCATTTACCTCTGAACTGTAGTGGGGTAGAAGTACCTCAAAATTGTACAGAACTTGAGTAAATGTACATCGTTACTTCCCACCTGTGCTAGGCTAAGTGGGCTTGTTTGGGATCCTGTTTAATCTGATTACGAAAAGTTAGCAGGCTTAATCATTGACTTCCTAAATGTTGACCCAGGCCTAAGTCAGTATATATGGGACATGTCTCCACACCCTGAGCTTCATTTCTAATATTAACCTTATTTCTATAAGCCGAACACTTTCTGCAGCTGACACACTTAACATTAGTTATGTTTGAGGGAGTTAGCAGGAGTGTGTGTTGTGCAGGCCTCATGTTACAGGCGGCTGTGTGTGTGTGTGTGTGTGTGTGTGTGTGTGTGTGTGTGTGTGTGTGTGTGTGTGTGTGTGTGTGTGTGTGTGTGTGTGGTGTGTGTGTGTGTGTGTGTGTGTGTGTGTGTGTGTGCGTGCGTGCGTGTGTGTGTGTGTGTGTGTGTGTGTGTGTGTGTGTGTGTTCCAGCTCGCTCCAGGCCACGTGTTCTCATTACAGCTGTCTGTAGCCCTTTGTTCCTTCTTCTCTGGATGTATGCAGAACAGGACATGTTGCCTTTTTAAACTAACGGCAGTATGATTTGTAGCTTAAGTGCAATAAATCATAATTACAAAGCAAAAATGAAATGTGATACTAATGAATCATCTAAAACATGAACATCGACTCATAACATTACAAATATATCTATAATTAATCTGATTGTATTAAAGGAAATACATTACTTTAGAGTATTGTTTATTTGAACATGAAACTTTTGACATCTAGAACTTCTCTCCTTTTCTGTCATTCCACAGATTTCCTCAACTCAAGTGGATTCGTCCAATGTGGCAGTAACTAATGCTGCATCCAAGCATTATGGTGTACAGTTGAAGACCTATGAGCACATTAGCCAACAGTTAAAATATGCAATCAATCAAGCAAGAGGTGGACAGCGAGGCCTACAGTGGAGACGATGCTCTGGTCCTGGCGAACGGAGACGGGATGGGCCACAAAATCTCTGGCATTCCCTTCAAAACTTCCTGTCGCAGGAAAAGAGAGTTCATCCCAGAGGAGAAGAAGGACACCATGTACTGGGAGAGGCGCCGCAAAAACAACGAAGCGGCCAAACGCTCCAGGGAGAAGCGGCGCATCAACGACATGGTGCTGGAGAACAAGCTGATGGCCCTGGGAGAGGAAAACACCTCCCTGAAGGCCGAGCTGCTGTCCCTGAAGCTGAAGTTCGGCCTGGTGAGTCTGGCAGCATATTCTCAAGAAGTCCAGAACTTATCCAGCTCCAGCAATATCAACGTCTACCAGGAAGTAGTCCCACCCAGCGCCAGCCAAAGTTCTTCCAGCAGGGTTTTGGAGCCTCTTCACTCGCGCAGCAGCTGCATATCAGTCATCAAGCATTCACCTCACATGCCCGAGACTCAAGGGGTCAAGCAAGAACCAGCAGAGAACGCACAAGAGAGAAGAAGCCCTTACGAACTGTACAGAAACTACATCACCAGCCCTCTTTCTGGAGTCTATCCGCAGGTCGCCGCCTTCCTACATCTCACCCGATCCTCCAGCAACTCCCCCAGGAGCTCAGAAGATGGCGCTGTTAGTAAATCATCCGACGGAGAGGATGAGCAACAGGTCCCCAAAGGTTTAACGCCGTCTGCAGCCGACCCACGAAGCGTCATCGTCTCCACACACAAAGTGCCGGATGCCAGTTCTTCAGCTTTGCCCCACAAGCTGCGGATCAAAGCCAGAAGCATCCAGATTAAAGTGGAGGCCATCAACCCGGAGTACCCTGTCGCAGTCTCAGAAGAAGGAGGATTCTCCACTCAGCCGTCCCCCTGCCCTCTTTCTCTCCAGGTCACCAACATGCAGCACTGGAACCAGCAACCGTGGCACAGAAGCAGCTCAGACACACTGCAAAACAAACCCATCGCGGAGGTTAAAGACCGCTCCTATGCACCCTCAGAGGACTTGTATCTGAGACATGGTCCCCCCTATCTGCCTGCTTTGAAAAGACTGATCCAAGCACAGCACTCTGGGTCTCTGATGGACTCGAGCAGAAGCACAGAGTCGATGTCGAAAGGCTGTTCCTCTGCATGACCGTAGTGTCTTTTATACTTCCCACTGTACTTGCTGTTGCACTGTGTGGTTAAACAGGGTTTGGATATGTGGTGATTTTCAAATGTTGGAGCACAATGTAAGGTTGATAGATTAAAAACACATTGAGGAGGGGAGGAGCTACCTGTACTGTAATGTCACATTCAAATATAATGTAGGCCTAGAATAGCACACCGTTATTCATTTAATCAGTACAAAGAATTCCGACTTACTCGTCTATATTCATACAAATACTGCTTTCATTCACCTTTTCCAGACCACTGCCACTACCTGATCCGTACCGGAGACATGAACGCATTTTTGGTACTTTTTGTCACCGCTATCATTTTATGGCAATTTTGATCTAGTGCTGATATCATAAGGTTCTATGTTTGTATTTGTAACATAAAAAAACCCATCCAAGTTCATATTCAACAAATGTTTTTGTTGAATATTGTATATGTACAAAACACCACTTTCAAAAATAACAAATGCTAATAATAATAATTAACACATAAAAACTGACAAGACATTGAATATATAAATTACATTTAAAAACATATATAATATCGATATGAGGACATTAAAGTCGACAAAAGAGAAATAAATAATTTAATTTACAACCCTTACAATCTAATGGTCCCCTTAAATTTGATATGAAAAAGTATCATAGGTTCAAATAAGTAATTTGTCATCGTTGAATGACCTTCCCAATTACTTTATTCAACCAGCTTTTCTTTGATAATATATTGCGAAACTAGCTCCATATTTTAGGCATTCTTTACCAAAACAACTGAAAAAGTATTTATATAATAAGGAAAAATCTTAAATGTCAGAACAAGTCAAACCAAAGACAGCATTATTTTATATAAATCCCAGAAAACTGCCGTAATTCCCACCATTTTGTTCAGATAACCATCATTGGAAGTGGCGGCTTATTCCCATAAATCAGGTTTCAGGTACGGATCAGGAAGCACCAACTACTCTCTGTGTCAATGAAACGAAACACTTCCTTCTAACTCATTACCTCAAAGTAGCTGGAAGGCTTTAATGGTGAAAAATCGGTTGAGTTTTAGCGAGTGGCTTGATCAGGAATCTAAAAAACGTCATGACTGGGATGAATTGATATGACCTGACTCTTCTTTAGTCAGTGTAATGTGCCGAAAGGAAACCAAGCATTGACAGTCTAACAAAACATATGATATTACGTTTACCTGCCACTATTTGAGAAGTTACAGAATCATTTACCAAAGGCTAATTGACTTCTATAACTGGGTCTGCCCTTCAGTCCCCGTTATCGCTCTGCTTTTGTTTGAAATGAGGTATTATGGTTACTGGATCCATCTGTATTCTGGTGTGGTGCCAGGTCTACTTACCTCTGCTTTGAGGGAATATCCTGCCATGCTTTTTTTCTATTGGTTTGTAATTATCTGCACAATTTCCAAGACGTTCCCTAAAAGAAATGTTGCAATTTGATACTCATTATGGGGGAAAGAGATGGACTATGATTCAAATTAAGTGCATATGAACACCTGAACATGCAAAGCTACGGATTTTGTAAACAAACCAACCCAATTAAAAAAAATGTTTAGTAGAGGACACCCTATTTCCCTAATTGGTACCAAACTCAACGTTCTTTTAGGGAGCTTTCTAACAACCAGGACCCTAAATGCTGCCTTTCTGCTCTCTCTCTCCTGGTTGACCAATCAGATCTTGGATATGTTGCACTCCATTGTCTCTGCTGTAGTTTTTGAATATGCAAAACAAGAAGTTACACACCTGGGCTTTTACCTAAGCATTTTTAAAAGGCTCTGTTGCACTGGTTCACCGTTTGCCAAATCGCTTTTTTCTTTTGTTTTTTAGTGGATTCATTTTGTAAACCTAACAGGTGGTTTTAAACTGAGACTGTGTTTGAAACTGGCTGGAGATTTGTGATTCTGACTGAGCTGAGAACTGAATGACTGAATAAGCACAATGTATCCTCAATCAATTGACATCTGTTTTATCAAAGAGTGTCCAGAGATTCAGTGTGTTATCCGCTAGATTCAATGCATTTTGTAATTTTGCTACTTGGTGGTGATATAAACAAACCTCCTGACCTTCTCTGTTGTTCAAGTGCATTCCGTATTTTAGTTTCTAAAGAAATACTGAATCTCCCAGTAAAAGATAATCACGATGCAGAGGAAGTCCAGTTCTGTATCTGCACACTTTTCTCAAGGTTTATTGTAACGGTGAGTTGTGTTCACAATAAATGTCTAATCACTGAATCGAGTATTCTTTTTTCTGTATGTATTCTTTTAGACCAGTGTTTCTCAAACTTTTTCATACCAAGGACCACCTAACCAATAAAAAAACACTCGCGGAACACCTAACTCCACAAATATCCAAAAACACATCGTTTTTTACAAATCGCCTGAAAATGGTACAAACAAGTGGCAACATGTGTGATGACGGTGTTTATCTGGGCTATATCATGCAATCAAAAATGAAACTTAAGCTCGTTCCATTGTGGAGATATTCCCGCGAGAGTGCGAAAAACTTAAATAAATGTATTTCTTTCAAATGTGACATTTTACCAATATACTCACGGACCACTAGGGGGCGCTCACGGACCGCCAGTGGTCCGCGGACCACACTTTGAGAAGCACTGAATCAGTTCTTTTAAAAGGAAATGTAGGTAGAAAATACCAAGAGCAAATATTCCAATACATCACGACTCCTCCAACAGTGCAAAACACAATATATTCAAGACATAACAAATAAATGAGGAAGTTAATTAGTGCAAGAGGCTTATGGTGCAAGTACAATGCAGGGATAAGGACTTAATAAACTATATGTGAAGTAGAATGAGATAAAACAGAATGTATCATTTTATATTGTAGAGTAAATTAAAACACTGTTTATTGTAATAATATATATATAAATGTGGTCTGTGGACAGATGAGAAACTTCACAGAGCCAGTGGTGGAAAGTAACTAAGCATATTCACACAAGTACTGTATTCAAGTTCATATTTGAGGTACTTGTACTTTAGTATTTTCATTTTATACTACTTTATTTTTATTTATTTAATCGTGTATTTGGCAGGGACAATGCACAGTAATGAACACTTAAAACATTCAAATGTGTCAAGCGTAACAGTGCCAGATTTAGCTTTGAGCTCATTTCCATCCGCAGTCCCTCACATACAACATTTAAGAAGATTACATTTTACAAACATGGCAAAAACAAATACATGATATGCAAAAAGTGCAAAAGAGCAAGAGCAGCATACACAAGTATTTATGACATGGTGATACAATATAGCAGCAACGACATATAAAGTGCAAGAGGAGATACCCCTGTGTTAAAGTGCATTTAGCGGTGATTGCCCGTCTGTTTGTTTCTCAACCATTCTTTGAGTTGACCTTTGAAGCTTTTGAGAGTGGGACAATCCCGTATCTCAGTTGGAAGGCTGTTCCACAACGAGCTGCCTTTAATGGAGAGGACATTTTGTCCAAAAGTGGTCCGTCTAGACTCTACGGTGGACTTCAGTCTCCTCTGGTTTCTGCAGCGTCCAGTGTGTTTTTTGTGGATGAAGGGGCAGTCCATGTAAACATTTATAAATAAAGCACATACTTTTAAAAGACTTAAAATCGTCAAAGCTCAAGAAATTGTGTTTTTCAAGGATGGTACAGTGGTGGTATGAATAAGGCTTTCTGTCAAACACCTTGATAGCTCTCTTGAACGCCTACTTCACTCCATTTTGTAAGCAAATGTTGTACTTTATTTATTCAGATTTTGACCCACCAAACTTTAAAATAAGATTATTTGGTATAGATAAAACAACTATATTAACATTCAAGATATCAAGATGTTCTGTTCAAAAATATATTTCACCATCCAGCTTCTTAAATAGGAAGATGTGCTGCTTTTGCTTTAAAATATTCAAATGTATTTTCTGCAATGAGTACTTTTACTCCTAATACTTAAAGTACATTTTCTTCAGAGTATTTAAATACTGTAACTTAAGTAACATTCTCCATGCAGTACTATACTTTTGACATTTAGTATTTTCACAGTGCTGTATTAGTACTCCAGTAAAGAATCTGAATACTTTTCCCCCCTCTGCACGTATGCAATACACTTGTACTTGTAATTAGATATAAGTGTATGGCCTAGATATTTACCATAGATATTCTTATATATTACTCAAATCCCTTACAAAATATGTGATTAACCTAATCTTATAATTTGAAATGCATTTTCTTCCTTTATTCAGCCGTTTTTCACCACGCTACAGACTCCCTGTCACGTGACGCCACCACGTGACTGTGTCAAAGTTGAAAGTCAAACACAACACTGCAGCTCTTCTTCAGCATGGCGGTGCAAGCAGGACACCGAGCCCTGCTGCAAGGTGTGTGCCGGCTGGTAGGAGCCTCCTCCGGCTGCAGAACACATGTCTGCTCCGGTACCGGCTGGCTCTCTTCTCTCCCGGGGACACGACACTACAGCTCGGACCCGAAGGAGGACCTCCTAGTGAGGCACCTGGAGGGAGAGGACTCCGGTAAGTCCGCTCGCAGAGTCACTCTGCCCGGTCCACTGTAAATGCTTAGTCCCGTTAAGAGTTACAGCAAACGGTATTAGTAATCGACGGTGAAACGGTTTTTAGAGCCACAATGAGCCACGAAGGAGCCATTCCGGTGTCTGACAGCAAAGTAGAGTGTACGCGATGACGTCATCTGTGTACGTCACAGGCAGCCAAACATTCACATACAAAATCAGAATCAGAAAACCTTTATTCGTCCCACTCAAACATAGCTTAATATTAATTAAGCATAGAAATATAAGATAAAAGTAGGAGTTACAATATTTACAATTTACAGATTTATTACAGAAGATGAATTGAATTGTAAGTGTAACTAAGTGGGGGGCCAGCAATAATATAATATGAATGAAGCGGTTTATACTGTATATATATTTCACATAAGTATTATTGGATATAACAAGTAGTATTGCACAACACAGGTGTTATAGTCTTTGTTGTTGTATGTGTGGTGGGGGTCTACCAGGGGCCGTGGTGGTTTTAGAGACTGACATCTACAGGAAGGAAGGAAGGACAAAGACAAAAAACCATATAATGTCTTTTAAATATTCCAATGAACTGAAAGGTTCAGGTGCATACACACAAAATACATAAATAAACCAAAACAAGCCAAACCGGACAAGACAATAACGTATCTTTTTTTTTTTAGCTTGAGGGCTTTATGGTCGAAGTAACCCACACCAAAAAGTTTTATAAATACTTCTCTGCCTCTTCATAGTCCCATTAATAGACCACTTTCCCTCAATGGGAACTAATTGTACATTTGGGGAAACATATCGATGTCTCTGTGAGCTTTAAATGAGCAGATATGGTCTAAAAATGTGTTTTATTGACGTCTTCAGCTCTTATATCAGTATGGTCAGTGCTTGAATTGGAATGAAAAAGGTGCCAGTACTCTAAAATCAGCAACTTTTTCAAGTCAATTTTATATATGCCACAAACAAGAATTTGGCTACTATAATGCTGGTGGGTTTGTCTCTTTACTACTGTATATTTTAGAAAGGTTCACTGTACTTAACATTTTTTATGATAGGCAGCGGATATGGCTAAAGCTCAGTAAGGTCAATATTAACTGAAAATATAGCAATCAAAGTCTAGATCTTCTGCTGAAGACACATGAAGCAGAGACCTTTCAGGTGAGAGCCCCTCTGGTGGTGTTCAACATTAATGACAAGGAAACAAAGCTCTGGTCAGAAGCATTTTTTATAAAAGCTTTAACAAAATTAAGTATTTCTGTACATTTTGAATGCAATCTAACTTTCCAACTCAGAAAACGAAAAACGAAAAAGTGCCAAAAGTCTTCTCACATGGCTGAGCTGCTTTGCAATATACTTCACCACTGAAGAATACAAATATGTATAAAGTAAACTATGATGCAATCTAACTTTCCAACTCAGAAAAATGATAAAGAGCATGAACAAAGAACATGTAAAAACAAATGCTAAATTTGCACAATCTAAAATGAGAAACTGTAACTGCAAGTAACAAAGTCTGAGCCATGGTAAAGAGTTACATTGAACACCAAGCTGATCAGATAACTCCCTGGTTGGTCTGAAGTCCTTCTATCTCCAGGATCTGTACAAATCGGCACATTATGCCAAAAGTCTTCTCACTGGGTGAGCTGCTTTGCAATATACTTCACATTGTTAGAAAAGGCTCCAGAAGGCCTTGGGGACATCAGTATCAGGGGCTGGAGCTGGACAGGCTCTTTCATCAGCACTTCTCCTTCCCTTTGCCAGCCAGGACCTCACATACTGTTCCGGATTGAACTGTCCTAGTGATGGTCCATTACATTTAATGAAAACCAGGCTGGACAGTCGGCTGACAGAGAGAGCATTCCTTTTTGCAGTAAGGATATCGTTCATGCAGCTGAATGCCCGCTCACACTCACTAGTGGAGACAGCGATGGTTCGGACTGCTTTCAGTAGAGGCTCCATGGCAGCAGGTGTACGGGATGCCCTGGTTTCCTTGTATTCGCGAAAGCCCTGAACAGTCTCTCTTCTCTCCACTTTCAGCACTTCGCACAAACGTAGCACCTCTACGTCCCCATACTGTACGTCTAACTCCTCTTCAGGCCAACTTCCAGGATGGATAACTTTCATGTCCTGGATTAGCTGATTGTCCCGGGCCTCCCGGCCATGTAATGGGATTTCTCTTGTGCTGACATGAGAGGAGGTTGTGGAAGTCATTCTGTGTCTCAGATTCTCTACCATACTGCGGAAAAACTGACCTGCATGAATCTGTACAAGCCTGCCATTCTCACGCAGGGCAACACCCTTGAAGGACTTCTCAGCTAGCTGTATGAACTGTAGTCATGTGTGGGCCAGGCATGGTGACCATGGATTCAAAAACTCGTATTTCTCGAGTTAAGAGCCTATCTGCTGTAGGCAGTGTCATCTCTCTTTTTTGGAGTTGCCGAGAGAGGTCGCTGAGCTCTGTGAGCGCATCGTACATCAGTCCCAGATTGCTGACAAACGTTGCGGATGTGAGCACATCATCCAGGCCCTTGTACTTTGCTCTGTCTCTGGAATCCCTGCTCGTGTCGTTTGCAGCATTTGTGAAGTGATCATGAAGCACTCGGTAGTTTTCCCAGACTGCTCTGACGCTCCTTTCACTTGAAGCCACCCAGCGGATGGACAAAACACGCCCTATCACCAGGAGACGCTGTCCGACTGCTTGCGCACACTGCGCTAACTGCCTCTGATTTTTGGGGGAGGCATGGAACAAGGAATAGAATTTGTCAAAAAAGATCTGGAAATGATTGAGCCCTGAGACCTCCTTGACCACATCCCCAACTGCCAGCTCTAGATGATGATTGGAGCAGTGCCACACAAACAGGCTTGGGAATTTACTACACAACTGGGTAGCAACGCCTGTTCTCTTCCCTACTGAAGCCCCATCACATGCAAAAGAAACGAAACACTGACCTAAAAAGTCCTCGTTAAAATCTCTTCCAAGACACTCCATTAACGCCTTTGTGATGTCATCAGCCGTTGTTCCATCCAACTCGATCAGCTCCCAAAAAAACGTTTCGGGCTCAGCATCAACTAATGCTGAGCGTAGACACACAACAAGCACCGTTTTACCACTAATAGTGGTAGATTCATCGACCAAAACACAGAGTTTTCTTTGGTTTTCTGTAATGTCTTTTGCCATTTTTTTCTTCAGCTCATGAGCTATGTGGTCGATGATTTCGCCATAGGTTTTATTGGAGTGCAAAACCCTGCCCACGTTCAGCCCATTCAGTTTCTGTACATTCAAATCAATTGGCATGTCTGTGAATGGCCGGCTATGTTTGCCAATTTTATATGCCGTTCGAAAAACTCTGATAGTGGTGTCTAATTCAGATTTATGCATAGACTGCACTTGATGTTGAATAGTTTCACGTGAAGCAGATGTAAGGATGTCAGCAGCTTTTACATGGGCTTGTGATTCTTTATGTTCTTTGATTTTTTTTCTCAGGCTAGCTTGTTGTTTGCCCTTGTCAACACCGAAATGAGACACTGCACACTCACCCCATTCAGTTGACAGTTTCAGTCCTTGTCCAGTGTGTATTCCCAAAGATTTGACATCTCTGCATATCCGACATCCTAGCTTCTTATCTTTAAGAAGGAGCCATGCATTGATCTTGCAAAAATATTGCACCTGGTCCGTTGTCCAGCAGTCAGGTGCATCGCTTTGCCCGGTGTTGGTGGTGGCAGTTGCGCCAGCAGCAGCTAACGTTAGAGGCTCTGGAGGAGGCGGCGGAGCTAGTGCTAATGCTAATGCACTAGAACTTGGAGCAGGAGGATCAACCAAAGAAAGCTCCCCATCAGACACAATTTCCAACACAGGCACAGCATTCTCTGTATTTGAAGTTTCTTCCGGCGACAACCGCTGTCTTTTTGCACTTTTATTAATCCACGCTAACATTTTAGAAATGCTAATTTGTGACGTGACTTGCTTTCCTTCTCTCGGGGGCGTGCCTGCTCTGTTCTATCACTCTACATAGCCACCCACTGGGTGGGAGTTGCACTGCATAAACACAACACACGTGCATCTAGGTATGTAAATTGTAAAGCATTAAAACATGGTTTTACTAACAGTTTTCAGTATGTTGTTACTTCGGCATTATTATTATTATTATTATTTTGAAACGTGTATTACTATTAAATCACGGTCAAATAGGTTAATTTTGACATAGTCGTTTCCACCACAGTATTTACATGGAGAAGATAAGCCCCGCCCCCTCTCCAGCACGTTCTGTTTGAATGACAGGAGTAAACAGCTGACAGCCGCTGTGAAACTCCAGCGGTTAGAGCGATGAGAATGTCCGTTCGGCACCTCACGACGCATCTACTGAGTACCGGGCGGCTGTATATATATATATATGGATGTATAATAAGAACGGCGGGAGAGTGTTGAGTACTGGCACGGTGCATGAGTACCGGAGTACCGCCAGCATGCCGGTACTGAGCAAGAAGTGCCGGTACTCCATGGGTCAGAACCAGAAGTGCCGGTACTGCGTACCGGTGAGTACTGCGTACCGGTGAGTACCGGCCCAATTCCAGCACTTCAACATAAATGAAATATAATAGTATACCATACTGTATGGTATACTATTATATTTCATTTATGATGCTTTGATCCAAGGCAACTTACAATAAGTGCAATCGACTATGAAGAACTCAAAATAGCAAACGACCTGCTGGTACAAAAAAAGAGAATTCCTTGATTTGTGTCCTTTTTCTTTTGACGACATGCTGCTCTTCATTATGTTGTTTTTACCTCTGTGTGTAATTACTAATCAGCGTAATGTCTATCTGTCTTTCAGGTATTGTTGTCGTTGGGATAAATCGACCAAAAGCAAAAAATGCCATTAGCAAGAATCTGGTCAATATGGTATGTATTGCTCTTTAACAGTTTACTAATGTAACATATATATTTAACCAAGATCTAATGGATTAACCAACAGGCTTTTTCTTTTAAATCGTGTGTGTGTGTGTGTGTGTGTGTGTGTGTGTGTGTGTGTGTGTGTGTGTGTGTGTGTGTGTGTGTGTGGTGTGTGTGTGTGTGTGTGTGTTCGTACGTGTGTGTGTGTGTGTGTGTGTGGTGTGTGTGTGTGTGTGTGTGTGTGTGTGTAGTGTGTGTGTGTGTGTGTGTGTGTGTGTGTGTGTGTGTGTGTGTGTGTGTGTGTGTGTGTGTGTGTGTGTGTGTGTGTGTGTGTGTGTGTGTGTGTGTGTGTGTGTGTGTGTGTGTGTGTGTGTGTGTGTGTGTGTGTGTGTGTGTGTGTGTGTGTGTGTGTGTGTGTGTGTGTGTTGTGTGGTGTGTGTGTGTGTGTGTGGTGTGTGTGTGTGTGTGTGTGTGTGTGTGTGTGTGTGTGGGTGTGTGTGTGTGTGTGTGTGTGTGTGTGTGTGTGTGTGTGTGTGTGTGTGTGTGGTGTGTGTGTGTGTGTGTGTGTGTGTGTGTGTGTGTGTGTGTGTGTGTGTGTGTGTGTGTGTGTGTGTGGCGCCCAGAGAAGCTTTAGTTAAGTTAGATCTCAAGGTTTTTTCTGTTCTCTTGCATTACTTGTGATTACTATCAATATGCTCAAGTTTATCGGTGCTTTTGTTTGTTAATACAGTGGGTTTCACATTTAAATCCTCAGACCATTTGAGACTGTATCTGTTGCTTTGGTCTTCCAGATGCTTGAGGCTGTGGAGGATATCAGGAAGAATAGCAAGGTGCGCAGCGTCATCATCTGCAGTCTGGTTCCTGGGATCTTTTGTGCAGGTACTCTTTGTTTATTGCATCGGACGGCTTTATGACCTGACTCTAAGTAATCTAGGGGATATTATTCTGACCCTTGGACCAAGTACAGGGAATTGTGTCTTCCTGTTTTTGCACATAGTGATGGTCCGCCCTTCATGCCTCTCTCTGATCTCTGTGTGCAGGTGCAGATCTGAAGGAGAGAGCCAAGATGCAGCAGAGTGAAGTGGGACCGTTTGTGTCCAAAGCCAGAGCGCTGATCACAGAGCTGGGTACGGACCACAGAGGAGGATGTGTTCAGTGAACTGGGATGCATGTTCATACCACACTTTATAATTCAGTAATAATGGCGTTTTTTGAGTTGCAGATCCTACAGAATTTTCATATCATGTTTCAATTGAAAGTTTTTATTTAGCTAATTTTCATGTGACATGTCTCCATGCTTTAATGTTCAAAAAGCTCTTTATTTGTCTCATACTGCCTGTGCTGCAGCACCTCTTTTCACCCTCTGTCTGAAACCAGAGCCCAGTCTGCTCTGATTGGTTAGAAATAGAAATGAACAAGCTTTCCTTAATTGTTCACACAAGTCGTCACAGCTCAGAGCAGACTAATTCAACTTCATAGTGAGTACCTTGATTATTAATAAGGAACTATAATGCACTTTAGTGATCATGTTTTAAGCACTTTCCATCTTCTCAACTTCCAAAAAGCTGGAAACACATCACAGTTTGGATTTTAAAGTTTGGGCACTTCGGGGGAACATTTGGATACAAATATTTATGTAAATGAAACTAAGCCCAAGTGAAACAGGAGTTCGTCTTACAAATTGTCACTAGCTAATTTCATTGTTTCTTCCTGTCATTCCTTTCTAAATCAAAACCTTGCCATAGCCCTTTAGTTGGTTAAAACTGCGCTTCCATTACAGTTTAGGAACTGGGGTCGTTACTATAGTAACGCAGTGTAGGCGGAGCCGTGACGTCATCTTCAATGAGAGCCCCAGAAAAACAACACAGCCGTTAGCTCTTAGCACTCAGAGCTCACAGCTCCTCATATCTGTTCAGAAACTAGACAAAAGTTAAACAAGTACAAACCACAGACTGCCTGTGTCATGGCGAATACAGTCGCTGGTTTATTTATGTCTGGATAGGCCGTTGTTGTGAGTGTGGACGGTCGGAGCAGATATAACGTTAGCTTAGCCAAGCTCCATTTATAAAACACGCATTTTAAAAGGGTTTTTCGCCTGCCGTCTGTCTGCAGACTTGTCAAAGCATTAATTCATGGTTTTTACTAACCGGTATCAGTATGTTGTTACTTCGGCATCATTTTGAAACGTGTATTACAATTAAATCACGGTCAAATATGTTCATCTTGTTGTAGTTGTAGCCCCCTTGCCAGCGATTCTCTCTCTAGTTTAGCATACTCAGCCCGACTCAGCCTGGTTGTTCCTGGCTCTAGAACCACGATTTTATGGGGCCAGAAAAATTGTGAATTAGGACCCGCTAGCCGGTACTAGGCCAAGTGGAAACGCAACCAAAAACGGGCACGGCTCGGCACGCTTAAAGCGAGCTACCCGCTGCAGTGGAAACGCGCCATTACTGTATTTTCTCTTACAGGTAACCTGCCAGTCCCAACGATCGCTGCGATCGATGGAGCCGCCTTAGGAGGAGGCTTGGAAATGGCGCTTGCCTGTGACATCAGAATAACCTGTAAGACTCAATGGAACTCATTTCTCTCTGTTCAGATGAGTGCCTCTGGTCTGTGTGCAAAACACTGTCGATTGTGATCAATCAAAACAAGCGTATGATTGACTTGTCAGACAGTAGAGTCAGCTACTGTGAGCATGCATGTTATTTAACTGTTACTGAAAAATATTAATTCATCTAATAGTTTTTTTGTCATTGTATATAGCAACAGATTATCCAATCCAACTTTATGTATATAGCACATTTAAAAACAACATAACATTAATAACATGAATATATTTAGACAAAACAACAACGAGACAATAAAACCATACTTATAGCCACAGACTGAAAAACTCATACGTGTTACATATTATGTGCGAGTGCTAATTCTTCACTTTGTTCCCTCTAGCTAATACTGCGAAATTGGGTCTGGTTGAGACCAAGCTTGCGATTATTCCTGGAGCAGGTAAGACTGGATTCTCTTTATTTCCTAATTTCCAGTAAATCACTTTCTGTTGTCTGCACCAACTACCCTTCATGGGCTGCAACGAGTTGGAGATATTTTTTAAAACGTTGGGATTTAGAAACAATTTAAAAAGAGAATGCATGATTATATGTTTTCTTAATGTGCCATGAGGCCTGCTATAGATATTATAATTTAAAGGTCACCTATCATGCTATTTTTAGGCAATAGCATAGGTTTCAGATATATAAAAAAAATATATAAAAAACATGTCTATGAAGTGTTTTGCTCAAAATACCAAACTGATCACCCATTCTAGCCATGCCTCATATCCCTCTCTTTCACTTCCTGTTTCAAAAGTGCTGATTTGGGGTATAAAGCTTTAAAATATATTTTTTTAAATTGACAAAAAATAAAAATGGAGGGGTCTGAGCTCATGCGGGACCCGGCAGCTACTGTCTAAACTAAATGCTGCCGTGATGAAACGCCATATCATGGATTATCAAGGATTCTCTCTGAAACAGTTTGGAGCTCAAAGGCTTTCTCTCTTGCCGGTTATACCACAAGGTGAGTTCCTTTTTACTTCCTGCTTCTTCATACACATGCTCTCCAGTACAGGTTAGCTCTGAGTGTTAGCGATGCTAATGTAAACACCGACCATATTACGTCCAAAACAGTCGGGCATTGTTTCTGATAGCAACGTTTCTGATTGGGCCGTGGGTCCACATTTCAGATATTACGTCATATCGGACGCAAATCTGGATCAGCTCCGTTGTTCCCCCGTTTTTAGAGATTTGGGTACGGAGGAAAAGAGAGAGGGTTTTATTTTCTGACGCTGCGTGAGTTCCCTGACACACCGGGGACACATGTTTATGTATAAAAGACATCAAGAAGTGCATTTCGCATTATGGCTCCCCTTTAAGGCCAAAGTCTAACTAAGGGATTGTTCCTTCAGGATGAATGATTTACAGGAACTCATGTAGGCTGTATTTCTCTTCTGTTTCTTTTACATTTCTTATAGGGCTGCTCGATTATGGCAAAAATCATAATCTCGATTAAATGGGTCAATAATTGATATCACGATTATTAAAAACGATTATCCATTTACTTTGAAAACATCAATTTATTGGAGAACAAAGTGTTAACAGTATGTTTTTAACAGTTGATTACCCTGAACTTTAAGTGAATTCAACTGAAAAAGTAATAATAACAAAAAAATAATCGTTTTATTTCGATTACGTTGTTTTCATAATCGTTGCAAGCCATAATCGTAATTGCGATTAAAATACGATTAATTGAGCAGCCCTAATTTCTTATATTTAAGGCATTTTTGTTTAAGAGTGACAGTACACACCGTTCTTTTGTCAGACTTGAAACAGACATTGTGATTACAAAGGCAGCAACTTTATACAAAAAGCCATGAAGCATTTACTAGCAGGCCAACCCGATAATCTTATATGCTATAAAAACGGTTGTGCAATACCACTGATTATAATATTCACTTTTGTACAGATTTATGGTACCTCACCTACTTTATATGTTCATGCACTTTTATAATGCTGCAACACATTGTTATACATTCTTTTCTTTTTTTCATTGATTTGTGCTTTTTTTAAATGATTATTATTGCATTTAACAGGGTTCTTCTTACGGTCATTAAAAACCTGGAAAAGTCATGGAAATTTTAAATACAAATTCCAGGCCCTGGAAAAGTTATGGAAAACAATATTTTTCCCAAAGTCATGGAAATGTAACTAAAGTTGCATCAAATATAATTTATATTTTATCTAATCGCCAAAATAGTAATACTATAATGATAATACATACTGTATCGTATAGTAATGAAACGTAAAATGGCATTTAACTGACAAGGTATTTTGCTGGTGAGAGATTTTAGTTGCTTTAGCGTGTAGAAGCTAGTAAGCCTATTTGATTTGTTTTAGATAGGCACAACATGTTTCATATGCAGACCATGTTAAAATATAAAATGTTCAGTGGTACCGCTGAGAAAGAGTAATGTTTTTGGTCATGGAAAATTAGGTAAAGATCATGGAGAAGTCATTGAAAATCATTGGTGAAAAAGTGTATGAAAATGTAACCTTTTTATCTGCACTGTCCCTTTGCTGTAACACTGTAAATGTCCCGACTGTGGGACAAATATACGATTTCTGATTTCCATTCTACAATGGTTTGGCAAAAGAGTTGAATATTCATCATATCTTTTATTTTTAGAGGTGATTTTGGGCTACAGTGTGGAACTAGTTTTTCTGATCCCCTGTCCGTCCCATGCAGGCGGGACGCAGCGTCTCCCCCGGGCCATCGGGGTCTCTCTGGCGAAGGAGCTGATCTTCGCGGCGCGGGTGGTGGACGGAGCCGAGGCGTGTCGCCTGGGCCTCGCCAATCACTCTGTGGAGCAGAACAAGGTGGGAGACGCCGCCTACCTGAGGGCTCTGGAGCTGGCCCGCGAGATCAACCCTCAGGTAACACAAGAGAACATCTCTGACCTCTTTACCAAGGAATTATAATAATAATAAATAGTAGGGATGTAACGATATATCGAATATCGCGCTAAATAAATATCTCAATACCGTCGTGAGACTGACAAAATCTACTGCGATTTAATTTTAATTTTTTTATATATATATATATATATTTAAAAAAAATTTTTTTAAACCTTTATTCAACCAGTTGGTCCCATTAAGATCATCGATCTCTTTTTCAAGGGAGACCTGTCCAACATGGCAGCAAGTAGGTTACAACATGAACATAAAACAACAGAACACAAAAGGACATCGTATTTACAGCGCTACATGTACATACCTAGAGACATTGACAAGTACCAACAGTATATTTATATCTCGCCCTGTCAATAAGACTCACCTTCTTGGCCAAAACTGTATTGTTTTTGAAGAGGTGGAGAGACAATGCACAGTTTGACCCACTGCTGTCACCCATGGCCAAAGCATACCTCTCTGTCCCAGCAACATCAGTACCAAGCAAGAGAGTTTTTTCCACAGCAGGGGATTTTGTAAACGCCCAAACATCCCAGCTTCTACCTGGAAATGTGGACATGCTCATATTCCTAAAAGATAACCTTGATGACGCTGAGTGAGTGAGTGAGAGTTGAGTTACTTGAAAAACTAAAGTGAAACTTGAGTTATTCTATTGCAGGGTCTGATTATTATATTATTGACACTTTAAAATACTACTATCTACTAAAATGCTGTACGAATCAGATTTATTATTTAATAAAGGAAAAAAAATATCGTACCGTAGACTTTTTATCGCGATATTATCGTACCGTGAGTTTTTGGTATCGTTACATCCCTAATAAATAGTAGTTATTTTTTTACTGATGCCTGGGAAGCACATGACAGTTATCTAATCTACTGGTGATGAATGCGTGGATTATACACAGAGGCAATAACAAAATGCTAATTTGGGGATGAATGTCATGACGAAATACTCACATTTTATCGATTTTAGGTACGGAATAATATTCTACTTCAAAACAATTGACAATTACATCAAACACAGCAATTTATAAAACCTTTTGACCTTTTTAAAAAGTCACTTTCTTTGTAATTTGGTTCCTCAGGGTCCAATTGCAGTAAGGATGGCAAAACTGGCGATCAACCAGGGGATAGAGGTAAGTCTCAGAGGTCTCTTATTACTTCTGCTTTGACTCTTTTAGGGTTTCATCATCACATGGCCTGAACATATTTATTGAATTGGTTGTGCTAAAATGTGGCTGTATTAATACGTTGAGCATACACATGGCTTTGTACTTGGTATTTAAGTATAGCTTGTTGTGTTTATTGTAAGACCTTAGAAAGTCAGCGGGCTCTTTGCAGGAACAGTCATGCATGTTAAAGCTCTGTTGTGAAAATGAAGTCAAAGCATTGGGGAATCCTGTAAATCTCCCCCTACCTGCTGCCATGTTACCCCCCCCCTACCCTTTTTAATATTATGTCGTAATAATCTCACCTCATTCTTTTGGGAGCCCGAGTTAAAAAATGAAGACGTGAGAAGAAAAGAATACTATTGAGCTGCAGTGTGAACATTCACTAAGAGATGCCACTCTCTTCCAGGTGGATTTATTAACAGGTCTCGCCATTGAAGAAGCATGCTACGCCCAGGTGAGTAATACACAATAATGTACCATGCTGTATGAAGTATTCATTTGGTTGGCAGTCTCACTCTGCATCGGCCAATCGGCTCGCTACACATACACAGAAAAAAAAAAAAGTATTCCGTCACAAAATAAGCTTGTACCAAGTCTTAAAATAAAAAATATAATAATGACATGAGGATATTTTGAACTTATGCATCAACACTTACAATGGTTTGTCTTATTTGAAGCAAAATCGTCACTTTTCCTGTCCATCAACAGGACTGGGCCTTCCAGAGAGGAGTGGTCATTTGTTGAAATGTGTTGTATTCTACTGTCAGGGGCTTTTTGTATTTAGTCTACCGTCATCAGTATAAAATATAAGGGGTCTCTCCCAGAATTGGAAAAAATGCTTCAGAGCTGCGTTTTTGTCATACTTACACGTGTGTTGTCTTTAAGGTGATCCCCACCAAAGACCGTCTGGAGGGTCTGGCTGCCTTCAGGGAGAAGAGGCGTCCTCAATTCAAGGGCGAGTGAAGCCTCTCTGCCTCCAGAACGAACACAAAGTGCTGCATCCGGATCTCCTCCTACTCCACTGCTTCCAACACATTTATGGGTGAACCTGTCAGCACATTAGCCTGTGCAGGACTCAGAGACTGCCTGCAGGGCATCAGCGGCCCTTCAGGGGTCCTTCAGGGGCCCCTCCTGGTTCCTGATCCATGGCTCAGGTGTAACGCTGGGTGTGTCCAATACAACCAGGCAAACTAACCAATCATTGGCCCCTGCTCACAAAATGTACCTAACTAATCCAAAACATGACTTCATACGGTTATTCCTCTGTGCACTGTGACGGACAGGTGGTCCCTAACCTCTCTGACTAATGAACCAATTAAAGAGCCATTTACATTTCTAGGTTATAGATTTTTTTACTTAAATAGAAATGTATAACTGTGTTCAAAACACTATATAACACCACAGGTTTCTGCATGAAATATAACTAACTTCAACTCTGTCCAGATGGAGCAATATAGGATTTGCAATGTTTGGATTTCTTTAGTGCCTGTTGCTGTAGTAACAAAAACCCCAGTGTGACCCATGATGCATTGGCTGAAAATGAAAGGTGTTTATATATATATATATATCACTGACACATGGGCCTAGTGTGTAGTACTAATGAGTTCGTTAGAAATAATTCAGATAATTGGTTAAATAATTAAAACTTAGCTTTCAGTCTGTGACATAAACCTGAAATGTTGGTTATCCTAAATATGACACATGATACTACTTTGGAAAATAAGTACGATTTAAAAAGCTCCAGGTCCACCGACACACTGTGAGGTGTGCAAGCTGCTCTTTCAGTAGAATGGATGCTTGTACTGAAATCATCTGCATTACATCTGGTTTAAAGCTAGTAAGTGGACCTTGAGATTTTTTCCCCAAGACGTATTTTATATTCTTGTTATTTTAAGAGCCAACTTCTTTTATCAAAGTGTCGATGAATGAATCAGCCTCTGTGTAGATGATATGTGATGTAAATAAAACTTGTGTCACACTGAAATCATTCTCATTTGATGTTTTTGAGCAACATAATGACATGAGATTGACAACACATTATTTTGGGACTTGTTGTGATTTGAATCCCTCACATTAAATACAGATAGAAGATGGTGGAAACGGATAACTCAGCACTGTTAAAGCAATACAATTACGGATGTTTAATTATAAGGGATGTCGATTTAGTTTTGAAGTTCAAGCCTGAATCGTAAGTTCATTTTTTTAAGTAGAAAAAGAACATTGTGTTGGAAACTGACAATTCACTAGCACTGGTTTTAAATGTCCTTCACACAGAGGTCAATGTTTCCCCAGCTCACATCATCCTTAACCTCAAATCAACACACACACACTCTCTGATAACACTTAATGCATCAATAATTATAAAACATATATCATTCTGAAATGGACCAATCTGCACAATGACTACTTTTACTGTTGGTCATTTTGGTTGGTATTGGTATTTTTCTACTTTTACTTGAGTAACATTTTGAATGCAGGACTTTTAGTTGTAACAGAGTATTCCTACACTCTGGTACTTCTACTTTTACTCAAGTACAAGCTCTGAGTACTTCTTCCACTTCTGTCCACAATGTATTCTTGCACCTTCATAAAATTGGGAGACTATGGCCGTAGAGAAAATATATATTTATATATATTCTCTTCGGCCATCTGTTCTCTTGTGCTGTGTAAAATAACCCTCATGTTATCCATGTGCTGTAGTGGTTCAGCTGTGTCCTTAAAGTTGAGATGAAACGTTCGATTTCCTTTTGGAGATTTGTAGGAAAATCAATCATACAACAATTTCCGGTTATACAGAGGCTGAAGTCTAATCATGTATGAGACTGGTTTGTCCAAACTCCAGACCTTCTGTCCTGACGTGGAAATCATTTTATGCAGCATCTCCATATAATCCCCTTTAAAGAGTTTATAGTGTGTACTGTATAAACATACATGTACGCATGCAATTATGTATGCATTGACCGATACTGCGTATGCAAACCTGAATTGATTTTTGTTTCTTGAGGTGGATCATAATTCTCATAATCAATGTATCCAATGCATGTAGGATGAAAGATAGCCAGCCCGCGAGGCACTTCAAATGCATTTCTGTTTTAAGGAAAATAATGCGTCTGCTCTCGGGCTGCAGTGCTGATGGCAGGTCGGGGTTATGATACTGTGTGTGTGTGTGTGTGTGTGTGTGTGTGTGTGTGTGTGTGTGTGTGTGTGTGTGTGTGTGGTGTGTGTGTGTGTGTGTGTGTGTGTGTGTGTGTGTGGTGTGTGTGTGTGTGTGTGTGGTGTGTGTGTGTGTGTGTGTGTGTGTGTGTGGTGTGTGTGTGTGTGTGTGTGTGTGTGTGTGTGGTGTGTGTGTGTGTGTGTGTGTGTGTGTGTGTGTGTGTGTGTGGTGTGTGTGTGTGTGTTGTGGTGTGTGTGTGTGTGTGTGTGTGTGTGTGTGTGTGTGGTGTGTGTGTGGTGTGAGCAGACTGTTGAGGTCCTGGCCGGCGGTTGCGTGCAGGCGGGCCCTGTGGCTTCGTGCTGCTGCTGCACACAACCTGACTTCAGGCTGCACATCACCACTGTGGCTGGCCTCCTTCCGGCAGATGTCCCAGCACTAAGCCGGGGGGAATCCCACCACAAGTCAAGGTTGCGTAAAGAAAGACCGGTTCCCCAATACTTGGAGGCCAGAACCCCAGCCGCTTCTCATGGGAAACGTCCGAGGTGTAACTGAAATGGCAATCCTTCGCAGAATGAAGTTTGTCTGTTTTTGAAGGAACCGTTTCTGTTACCGCAGGTCAGCCCTGTCTGGGACATGCACAGTTTCAGTTTGAACTCTTTCTCAACGGGTTGTTTTGGATCGAAAACAGAAATGGAGCTGATCCCAAACAGGATATATTGTATATTTTGGAGCACGCACGTTGTTGTACAAACTACTTTGACATAGAGAGAAGTGCGTTATTCTCAGTGATGCGTAAAACCCTCACATTCATTGACCCAGCTCCACATTTAGACGTGACAGTTAGACAGTGAGCCTGTATTCATTTCATATATTATATTACACCTGTGCTTCACCTAATGGGACATGTACAAATGCGTTCAGTAAAAAAAAAGGCCTTTTGTTTTGGCCTAGAGGTAGAAATCTCAGTCAAGTATGTCAAACCTGGAGAAATAAACCACAAACATGTATCATTAGATTAAACTCAATGGACTTTGACAAAGCGCTTGCGCGAAGCAGTTTTATTTCATCCATTAACACACACACATTCCTACACTGATGGTAGAGGCTAGCACACAAGCTAGCCTCTACATTAGCATTCCCACACACACATACACTCTTGTCTATTCCATCAGGAGCAAATTTGTCTTGCACAAGGACACTTCCACCGCAGGACTTGGGGATTGAACCTTAAACCTGAACATTTTATTTATATGTTTGCGGTAAATTGGCCCTTTAAAGCTGCTGCACAAGAGGTTTACCTGAGTAGGAAAAAGGTTGTAGGTTTAAAATAGTACATTAATTGCTTTGTTGTAATAACGTGTTATTCAAATTTTTAATAAAAGCTAATGAGTTCCTCACTTTCCAATAAGCAAAACAACAAAAATGAGTAAGTCATCTCCAATTCTTTTCCAATCATTAAGAAAGTGTGCCATTATAAATACTGAGGTCCAGATGAGCTGCATTTTGCCAGAAGGTCAGAGGTCAGATGGTCTATCTCAGTGTTTCTCAAACTTTTTCATACCAAGGACCACTTAACCAATAAAAAAAACACTCGCGGACCACCTAACTCCACAAATGTCCAAAATCGCATCGTTTTTCTAGAACAGATTACAAATCGCCTGAAAATGGTACAAACAAGTGGCAACATGTGTGATGAAGGTGTTGCGCTGGGCTATATCATGCAATCAAAAGTTAAACTTAACCTCGCTCCATTGCGGAGATATTCCCGCGAGAGTGTGGAAAACTTAAATGTATTTATTTATTTCAAATGTGAAATGTTACCAATATACTCGCGGACCACTAGGGGGCGCTCGGGGACCACCAGTGGTCCGCGGACCACACTTTGAGAAGCACTGGTCTATCTGATGAACTAAAGAGCTCAAATACAAAGCATGTGTCATGACCGGAGAGATGTTTTACAAGTATACAATCCCATATATATCTCATATATTTTCTATAAAGCATCCGTAAGGGCGGGCTTATTAAATACACTCTTTGGTTTTCTAGAAACAGTGATGCAGACCACATGAAATATGATGCTCCTACATGAGTGATGCAAAACCAAAGAGGTGCAGCAATTCTAAACATTGTTTTCATATTCAGAATACATTAAAAAAAATGAAGGCTACTAGTCATGTGACATTCAGAATAAACCAGGCATAACAAAAACATTGGCACATTTTTGGGATTTTACATCCAATTAATTTATTATATCACATTATTGCCAGTTAAATGCTGCTTTACTTTAAGTCGGTGGCTTGGACAATATCCCAGATTTGGGTAACATTTCATTTTAATTGCTCTCCATAGGTAACACACAAATGTATCTACAGGGGATTTAAAAAGGGTAAAGAGTGCTTCAATTATTCAACCTTAAACATGTTATTAAAACGAAATAAAAGGAGACAATATGGCCAAAGTGTTTTACTTGTTTGTAGTGTGTTTTGAGGTCAGTTTTTCGCCATGTTGCATATTTTAAAGATATGTAATACTGTAGATAATGGCATTACTTATTGGAGCATCATGGGACTTTATTCTTTTTAAAAAAAAATCATACATAACTTAAAATCTGCCTGCTCATGTCAATCGTCTCTTATATAATAAAAAGATATCTGTTACTAAACTTTACTTTGATTTCGAAGAACTATCAACACTTTCTTGGTTTCTTCAATCAAGCTGAGAGTTAAGGCCATGGCACTCAAAGCACTCAATATAAAAGAGACTCTGCTGCCACCTGCAGGTTTAAACAACTCATCATAAAATAAATATCTGACTGAGTTGTATCCAAATTATCTACCAATAAGGACACAGAGCATGTGTGTTCTTTATATTCTAAAAGTAGAAGGAATTATTCAGATCTCAGATTCAAAATCAGATTATAATAATGCCCTCGCTTCAGAATAAAGTAAGTAAAAGTTATGCAAACAAAATCCTACTTAAAGGTGGGGTCATTTTGGAGAAACCAGCTCGAGTGCGCTAGAATTTCAAAATACACAGCCGGAACAAATCTGCCACTTCCTTACAGAGCCCCTCCTTCATTGCTATCGGGATGTTAAGAGCATTCCATGGAATATAACAAAAAGTGTATCTCGAGCCGGTTTCTCAAACTTACTTACCCCACCTTTAAGTAAAAGTAAAAAAGTATTAGCATCAAAATACACTTAAAGGTAGGGTAGGTAAGAATGGAGAAACCAGTTTGAGTGCGCTAAAATTTGAAAGTACGCAGCCTAAAAAAATCTGCCCCTTCCTTCAGACTTCCTTACAGAGCCCCTCCTCCAACACACACGAACGCACACATGACCAATGAGGGCACGAGATACATTTGTGCACGAGATGGAAGGCTGACAGGCAGGTAGGCCATCCAGTTACTTTAGCCGGGCCGGCTCAGATGATTGGTCGTGCTTTTTACAGCGCCACGGCTTCCACAGAGGACATTTTTTATGTATTTATTGTCAAAGCATTTAATGTATTCATTGCTATCGGGATGTTAAGAGCATTCCATGGAATATAACAAGTGTTTCTGAAGTGAATTACCTACTCCACCTTTAAAATACCAAAAGTAAAAGTATGTGGGGCGGTTCTAGGGGGGGCAGGGGGGGCCAGTGCCCCCTAACACTGACCTCTGACCCCCCTGTGGCCCCCCTAAAAATGAAAAGTGAAAAATATGTATGATTTATTACACGATTTATTGAATGACGGAATAGGCGGAACTAACGTTATTCGTCATTCTAGTCTGACCCATTAGAGCGGTGCACTCACTTTCACTGTTCGGCTGAAGCGCGCGAAAAACA